CTCCCTGTTCTCTCTTCCCTCCCTGTCCTCTCTTCCCTCCCTGTCCTCTCTTCCCTCCCTGTCCTCTCTTCCGCCTCTGCCCTCTCTCCCTTTTCTGCGTCCTCGCCTCCTCCCCACTTCGTCTTCTCGCCTCTCAGTCTACTACGGTAGCCGCAGGGTGGCGCCTACTCATCTCATAGCACTGCAGCATAGAGTTTCCTAGTTTGTCATTAGTTTCGGCATTGTATGTGAATGCATGTACTATTACCGTAAGTCTTTCCTCCGACCATCTCCCTTCTGTGGTGCAGCTCGTGATGCATGAAGCAACCAACCAGACAAGCTAGATTTAGGATTGTGTGGTGTGGGTCCCACTCAAGTTGAGGTTTTATACATTCAATAATGACCTTGGTAGTGTGTGGGCAGGCACTTGTAATGGTCTCCATTTGCAACACTGGTGGCTGTTGTCAACAATGTCTTATACAGTAATGTCCCTTCCAGAACCCATATCGTCGCTTCAGCACACATGGAGGCTAATGTACGGTAGCTCTTGCGGAGTGGTGAGGTGAGGGCCCATGCTGTGCTCGTGCTCCTGCAGTCAACCCAGCTGCAGCAGCAACTCAGAGGCCCAAGCAGGTAGGAAGCAGGGCCGGATGAGCAGCACGTGTGGAGGTAGGGCAAGTGGAGAGCCCACGCCTGCCTGCATCCCCGCCCACGCCCTAACCCCTGCCTGGCGGCCGCCTGCATGGCACACTTAGCCCGGCATGCAGGGAAAGAGGAGAGTGGCAGGGCAATGGCAGGGTGAAAGGAAAAAAGCTCCGCAGCTCTGCCAGATGCAGCAGGGGGAAAGGTTGAGATGCAAAGAAAGAAAGGGAGAAAGAAGGGGAAACGGAAGGGGGAGTGAGGGAGAGAGTGCATGAGAGGATAACAGGGGGGAACGGAAATGGGGGGAGGGGAGACGGGGGAAGGGAAATGGTGGGAAGGGAAATGGGGGAAATGGAAACGGGGGGAAGGGAAACAATAGGGGGAAGGGAAATGGGGGAATGCTAAACGGGGGGAAGGGAAACGGGGGGAAGGGGAGAGATATATGTGCAAGGCTTGGAGTATGCCTGTGTGCAGCAGCTCGAACAAAGAGATCGAAAAATCCAGTGTAGCAGCCGAAACGGAAATTGTCATTCCCACGTGCTCCTCTTCCCTGGGGCTGGGCCAGAGGCCCCGTTGACTTGGCGCGCGAGAGGTGAGGCGGGAAAAAACGTATGAGACACCAAAAAACACTTTTCAGAATTCTCGAAAAATACTCACTGGGCCAGAGACTCGTGGCGGGCAGTGAGAGAAGATGAGAGGAGAGGAGAGGCAGTGAGAGGAGAGCAGAGGGGAGGCAGTGAGAGGAGAGGAGAGGAGAGGCAGTGAGAGGAGAGCAGAGGGGAGGCAGTGAGAGGAGAGGAGAGGAGAGGCAGTGAGAGGAGAGCAGAGGGGAGGCAGTGAGAGGAGAGGAGAGGAGAGGAGAGGAGAGCGCACGCTTGAGACGTCTCAAAAGGCGTGCAGCCGGAGGTGACGCCAGGGGAAGGGACTTGAATGAAGCGAGGGGGGGGGATGGGGAAAGGAATGCGTATGAATGAGTACAACCGTCTACCGCACGCGGCATTCCCCCGCGCGGCGCAGCATTCCCCCGCACGGCGCTGCCCCGCGTGGTCCTCATCGGCGCGCAAAATTCACCCCCCTCAGCCCTCACCCCCCACGCGCTCCTCGTCACTCTCGCCCCTTACCCGATCGAGAAATCCGTCATTCTTCGGCGCGCCGCCACACGAGCTGCTGCTCGTCAATCGGCGCTGCTCGTCAATTGGCGCGCAGCATTCACTCCGCCCCCCCTCTTCCCCCCCCCCCCACACACACACCCTCCCCCCGCCGCCGTTCGTCATTCTGGCCGCGCGTCATTATCACATCAAGAATGGCGTCGACGTCCTAGGCGCGCAGCGGGGTAACCAGCAGGCTGGCGACGAGCAGCAGCAGCAGCGGGAGCGCGAGCGCGAGGAGCGCGGGAAGGCGAGCGACCGTCATTTCGTCGCCTGGACGAGTCGAAGCTCGCACGTCGTGGAAAGCTGCGGAGAGCGAAAACGGACAGACGGTTTGGGAGGGAGGGAGGAGCAGTCGCGGAAGTGAGCGGGAACGATAGAAAATGCTGATCGAGAAGCAGCTCTATATCAATATGGCGCTCCTTCTGCTACCGTCGTTGATTAGTAGGGAGCTAACGCTGGAGACACTTCCCGTGTAACACATCAGCTTGCGCGCCTTGTCGACACTGCAGCTTCGAAACCTGCTGTGCTCTGTTCGCCACAGTCGCCTATTTTTTTAAGCGCGGATCGTGCTGGTTTAGGCTTGCATGCGCGTGATGAAAGGTTAGTATGTAGGTCCTAGTGAAAGGTGTCGATGTGAAAGTAGACACAGGTTTAGAACTTGGTGTGTCAGGTTACGCGCTACTGTTCCTTCCCCTCCGCCCTTTCTTCCCCCTCATCCAACCTTCTCCGCCGTTCCTTCCCCCAACCCAACCCTTTCACGAAATATGGTTGGGCTCGCCATACTTGTTCGACTTCATCGTACTGGTGATTGAGGGAAACATTCACTTCGCAATCCAATGAACATACGCCGAAGGGTTAGCACAACAAATGCCCCCAAAAACCCCTCCCAGTATGTAGACCGCAGCTTTAATTTGCATATCGTAAAAACGGAAGTAGAAATAAATAATCATACAATGTGTAACAGTTTAAAGCGGGCTGTTCCCTTTCGCCGCTTTGAACTGCCACCCACTGGCCCGAAGCGCGGAGATGGGCGACTTCAATCAACTGACCTGGCGAGGCGACACTCATCGGCACAGCATCGCAACAAGTTTTTTGGAATCGCTCCCCTGTCGTGTGGTCAGCCACAGTCCCTCATCGAAATGTTGATGTGACGATTTTCGTTGGCGCTGCTCCTGCCAGCGTGTCACTGCTGGTTGAATCAATTTGGCGCGGAACCGGGCGATGATTCTCGGGTCGCTCAACTCTCGTCACCTGGAGTCCATGGGCAGCTTCGCACAGTTTGCTACAGTTCCGAGCCTCCCCGTTCCCGCCTTTTCGTCCAACTGATGTACAGTACCGACTGCACCATCGTGTGGCATCGCGCTTCGGGCGGATAGTTTGTCACTGGTCATTTCGAGCACACAACTTCTCGAGATTGCTGCAATCCGCCGCCCTCGCCTTTCACCAGCAAATCCGAACTCTGAACTCGGAGTACAGAAAAAATTGGGGGCGTGGACTACGAGCAGTTCGTAAAGAAACAGTTATTGAAAATAGCTTGGATGCACATCATGCGATCCGGTCAACTGCAAAAACTTTTGACAGGATATAATAGGTGGTGGTGACCACACCCCTCACAAGTGGTGGTGGTGAGGTGAGCACACTGCTGCTCTCTGAAGTGGCTCGCCCACGCCACCGAGGGTGATGGGGTTTTCCGAGGCTGATGTGGCGAGCCTCTAACATCAGCCTCGGAAAACAATCATTGTGCTTCTGCCAGCATCTTGCTTCTGCCAGAGCGGAGAGGGAGGGAATGCTGCAATTTGCCGCCCCTTGTACAGTTCTCCCCTGCCCCATCCTTCCCTTGCCGCCAAAGCTGCTGAGAGAGCCTCCTCACCTCGCAGGGTAGGGACAGGAAAACAGCCGCGAACTTTAGCGGCACAAAATAGACCGCGAAGTTGCATAGCCAACTCTTCTGCTCTGTGTCATCCAGAAGCTGCAGGTCCATCGAAATCGGAATTAGGCTTGTACAGTGCAAAACTTTGCCTGACAAGTGCTCCAATCTGCCGTTCACTCCAGTGGCCTATGCTCCATGCTTCCTTTGGATTAGGGTTATTCAGACAACCTCCGTCTTTCTTATGGCATGCCTCTCGAGATCCGTCACGATTCGCCCTTAACGCCATCATACAACCCGCCCCCCAGCTTAGCAAACTACGAATGCCACGAGCAACAAGTACTGGAGGCCACGAGCAGCGACGCTTCAGCCGTGAGGAGTTCCACCCCACTGAAGCAACGAGCAGCAACTATTGAAGCAACGAGCAGCAACTAAGGCCACGAGCAGCAACTTTTGAAGGCTACGAGATCCGCCACCATCAGAGGTAAGAAGAGCCTGTTTTTCCGCATGATGCCCAAAGTGGATCTAGGCCTGACTCTGTTTTTGTTTCAACCTCTGCAGGGTCCAAAGTGGATCTAGGCCTTCGGTGCCCAAAGTGGATCCAGGCTTTAACTGTTGTCGCTGGCTTCAACGCTTTTTCCGTGTGGCGTGCAACGGGAGACCGACTACTCCAACTTCAACTGATCGGGAAGTGTCGTTCCCTTCCTCTCTACTTTTTCCTCTCGTTTGTCGTTTTTTTTTTTTCGTTTCGCAATCCGCCATTCCGCTATCCGCCTTTGTTGTTTTTTCAACGTTTCCACCGTCCCTCTGGCGCCTAGGCTGCAGCTACAGATGATCCTCCGCGGTTGGGTTGGGAACGGGTAGATAGATCCTCCCTCTGCTGGTTGCAGCCGAAGCGCCATGGACGATCCCACCCCGTTTGTTTACATCGTCTGTTACCGCCTTCTTCGTTTTCGTTTTTGCATTCGGTTTGTCTTTTTTTTCTTCTTCTTATGTTTCTTCTGTTTCTCTTTACTAACTTCGTGCCTTCTGTGTGTTTCCTCCCATTTTTTTCAGCAACAACGTGAGTTTCGAACGAGCTCGAGGGCATCTTCAGTTTTTAAGTTTCAACCGAGCGGATCTTCAGACAAGCAGGCGCAGGAGCTTCACGTCTTGAGGCTATGGTAAGCTTCCTTAGCTGCCTGACCGTTACCCTTCGTAGCCTTCAACACGTTGTTTTCAGCAGTGCCGCGTTTGATGCAGTATTGATCCGTTTTCAGCACTCTTTCGTTTATGACTTACTATTCTGTTAATAGCTTCAACCCCTTTTTTCGTAATTACTCACGATTCCGTTTATGACTGTTGCAGATCTCAATTGACGCATGATGTGAAGCCGTGAAGTAAGCCCGGGAGCTTCAAGGAGATCAACAAGCTCAAGAGCGGATCTGGAACGAGCTCAAGAGCGCATCTCCAAGGATGCAAGCGCGGGAGCTTTAGGAGATCAACGAGCTCAAGTGTGAATCCCGAACGAGCTCAAGAGCGGATCTTCAGACAAGCAAGCGCAGGAGCTTCACGTCTTGAGGTTATGGTAAGCTCCCTTTGCAGCCTGACCTTTACCCTTTGTAGCCTTCAACACGTTTTTTTCAGCACTGTTTTGTTTGATGCAGTACTTATCCGTTTTCAGCACTCTTTCATTAATAACTTACTCTTCTGTTGATAGCTTCAAGCCCTTTTTCTTATTAACACTAATCCGTTTATGACTTGCAGATCTCAATTGACGCATTCTGTGAAGCTAGCCTGGGAGCTTTAAGGAGATTAACAGCAACGTTTCAGCCGTGAGAAGTTCCACCCCCACTCGCCTCCATCGCCAACTTTCAACCCGCCACCAGCCGCACTCCGCCCTTCGCCCAGCCTACCTTCCAAACTCCTGAGGTAAGCGTTTCGTGTCAAACCGTTTGGCTTTCTGTGCCATTTTTGGCTTTTGTACATTCAGTTTTCAATTTGGTTAATTTTTTAGTTTCAGCATCAATTTCCAGATCTTGATCTATTTCTAACTCCTTTTCGCACTCGCCTCCACCGCCAACCTGCGACCCCGCACCCATCCATACACCGCCCCCCGCCCCGCCTACCAACCGATCTCCCAAGGTAAGCGCGCATTGGTTTCGTTGTCTTGATTCAGATTTAGATCTGGTTCTGTTCGTGTTTGAATTTGATTGTCCAGATCTGGATCACTGACTTTTTTTACTTGATATTTGCAGGTACAACCACCAAGACCACGAGCAGCATCTTTTGAGGCCACGAGCAGCAACTCGACCTCTGCAGGGTCGAGTGCCTTCAGTGCAACTGTAGTCGGTGCTCAACGCTTTTTCCGTGTGGCGACCGACTTCAACTGATTGGGAAGTGTCGTTCCCTTCCTCTCTAGTTTTTCCTTCGTTTGTCGTTTTTCGTTTTGCAATCCGCCATTCCGCCATTCCGCCATTTGTTGTTTTTTCAACGTTTCCACCGTCCCTCTGGCGCCAAGGCTGCGGCCACAGATGATCCTCCGCGGTTGGGTTGGGAACGGGTAGATAGATCCTCCCTCTGCTGGCTCAGCCGAAGCGCCATGGACGATCCCACCCCGTTTGTTTACCATGTCTGTTTCCGCTTTCGTTTCCTTCATTTTCGTTTTCGTCTTCGCATTCCTTGTTTTGTTTTCGCATTCCTTCTTTTGTTTCTGTTTACTAACTTCGTGCCTATTTTGTGTTTCCTCCCGTTCTTTTCAGCAATAAAGAAGTGTGGCTGCAGTGGAGCTTTGAACGAACTCGCCGGCATCTTCAATTGTCCAAGCTTCAACCAATTGGATTTTATGGTAAGCTACTTCAACACTTGCTCGTTGCATTTCAAAGCGCTCTGTATTATTTCTAGATTGTTCTCTTATCTGTTTTCCAACAATCACTTATACTTTTAATTACCTTGCAGAGGAATATATGGATCGCCATGAAGTTGTGACCTGCACTGTGAAGGCGCCAGAATGCATTCGTGAAGCCACTGTAGACCATGGTAAGCTTCTTCACCCTTGATCAAAGCATTTCAGTTAATTGCTTGCTAAGCAGATTCCGTTATTTGTTTTAACAATTGTTCATTACTGATGTACTGTTAATGTATCGTGCAGGTCCTGAAGAAGCCGCCTGCACCTGTGAAGGCCCCAGGATGCGTCTGTGAAGCCAAGGGAGCAGCTGTGAAGCCACGGTAAGCTTTTTCATCCTTGATCTGTTGGGCACCTCACCCCATTTCAGCTTTATTGCTTGCAATCCCTCTCCGTTTTCAGCTATTCTTCTTTCATTACTGATAAATTGTAAATGATTTTGTGCAGATCTTCAAGAAGCCGCCAAGGAGTTGAAGATTCTTGAGGTCGCCACCTGCACCAATGAAGCTATCTGGATGCATCCCCGAAGTCGCCACCTGCACCAATTAAGCCACCTGGATGCATCCCCGAAGTCGCCACCTGCACCTGTGAAGCCGCCAGGATGCGTCTGTGAAGCCGCCAGGATCCGTCTGTGAAGCCAAGGGAGCATTCGTGAATCTACGGTAAGCTTCTTCACCTTGATACCCATTTCAGTTTGTTGCTTGCTATGCGGATTCCGTAATGTTTTTTTTTAACTGTTCTTCATCACTTATATTCCGTTTATGATATGTGCAGATCTTAAAGAAGCCGCCAAGGAGCTGAAGATTCTTGAAGTCGCCACCTCCTCCAGTGAAGCCGCCTGCATCCGCGAAGTCGCCACGTTCACTTGTGAAGCCGCCAGGATACGCCTGTCAAGCCAAGGCAGCAGCTATGAAGCGACTTTAAGATTAAGGTAAGTTTCTTCATCCTTGACCCCTTGTGCACCTTACTATGCAAATTTTCTTGTCTGATTCAACTATTCTTCCTTCATTACTAATATGCTGTTAATGGATCGTGCAGGTCCTGAGGAAGCCTTCAAGGAGCTGTAGTTTCTTGAAGTTGCCACCTGGACCAATGAAGCCGCCTGGATGCATCCGCGGAGTCGCCACCTGCACCTGTGACGTCGCAAGAATGTGTCTATGAAGCCGCCAGGATGCGTCTGTGAAGCCGCCAGGGGAGCATTCGTGAAGCCACTGAACACGATGGTAAGCTTCTTCATCCTTGAGCAAACCATTTCAGTTTGTTGCTTGCTAAGCGGAATCCGTTATTCGTTTTAACTATTCTTCATTACTAATATATCGTTTATGATTTGTGCAGATCTTAAAGAAGCCGCCAAGGAGGTGAAAATGCTGTGAAGTCGCCACCTGCTCCCATGCATCCGTGATGTCGCCACCTGCATCTGTGAAGGCGCCTGGATGCGTCTGTGACGCCAAGGGAGGAGCTGTGAAGCCACTTGGAGGCCACGGTAAGCTTTTTCATCCTTGACCTGTTGGCACTTTACCCATATCAGCTTTGTTACTTGCTAAGCAGATTTCCCTCTCCGTTTCCAGCTTTACTTCTTTCATTACTGATATGTTGCGAATGTATTGTGCAGATCTTGAAGGAGCCAAGGAGCTGAAGATTCTTGAAGTCGCCACCTGCACCAATGAAGCCGCCTGGTTGCATCCCCGAAGTCGCCCTCTGCACCTGTGAAGCCGCCAGGATCCGTCTGTGAAGCCGCCAGGATGCGTCTGTGAAGCCACCAGGATGAGTCGTGAAGCTAGGGGAGCATTCGTGAAGCCAGGGGACCATGGTAAGCTCATCCTTGATCAAACCATTTCAGTTGTTGCTTGGTATGCAGATTCCGTTTTCCGTTTTTCCGTTTTTTCGTTTTATTGCTATATTCCTCATTACTAATATATCGTTTATGATTTGTGCAGATTTTAAAGAAGCCGCCAAGTCTCCGCCTGCTCTCATCAAGTTGTGTGGAAGCATCCGCGAAGTCGCCACCTGCACCAGTGAAACCGCCAGGATGCGTCTGTGAAGCCTAGGAAGGAGCCGTCCAGAGAGCACCCTTCATGGAAGCAGAGCACCCTTCAAGGAAGCAGAGCACCCTTCAAGGAAGCAGAGCGCCCTTTAGGAAAGCAGCCGTCCAGGGAAGCCGAGCAGCCGTCCAGGGAAGCAGAGCAGCCGTCCAGGGAAGCAGAGCAGCCGTCCATGGAAGCAGAGCAGCCGTCCAGGGAAGCAGAGCAGCCGTCTAGGGAAGTAGAGCAGCCGTCCAGGGAAGCAGCGCAGCAGCCTACGCTAGTCTGCTAGTCGCCACCTGCACCAGTGAAACCGCCAGGATGCGTCTGTGAAGCCTAGGAAGGAGCCGTCCAGAGAGTACCCTTCAAGGAAGCAGAGCACCCTTCAAGGAAGCAGAGCACCCTTCAAGGAAGCAGAGCGCCCTTCAAGGAAGCAGAGCACCCTTCAGGGAAGCAGACGTCCAGGGAAGCAGAGCAGCCGTCCAGGGAAGCATAGCAGCCGTCCAGGGAAGCAGAGCAGCCGTCCAGGGAAGCGGAGCAGCCGTCCAGGGAAGTAGAGCAGCCGTCCAAGGAAGCAGAGCAGCCGTCCATGGAAGCAGAGCAGCCGTCTAGGGAAGTAGAGCAGCCGTCCAGGGAAGCAGCCTACTGGGAAGTAGCTTAGCAGCCTACAGGGAAGCAGCGCAGCAGCCTACGCTAGTCTGCGAGGAGGAAGCTGGTCTGCAAGGAGTAGACGGAGGAGGAAGCTGCGGAAGCGGTTGCTGCGGAAGCGGAGGCTCGGCAAGAGAGACGTGGCGAGCAGTGGAGGGATGTGGCGAAGGGTTATGCGGATGGTGGCTAGATGGGAGCTCAAGGGTGGCCTAAGAGGTGGCTGGGTCTAGTGTGTGGCTCAGCCGGTCCTAAGGCGAGTGGCGTGGTGTGAGTGTGGCCTCAGCGGTGATATGATGGAGGAAGGGCCGGTGCTTGGTCTTGGCAGTGCAAAGTCGCCCGGGAGGCTTTGCACTGCCTGGGCCCAGAATCAAGCAATACCGGGTACCTGACACTCCAGGTAGTATCACCGTTGGGGTTGCATGAGCACCGCAAGTCAGCACCACACCGGGGTGGGTGTGGGGGGCTTGAGTCACTGTATAGAGAAGGAGACCGCACTGGCGTGGGTGCGGAGAGTTCTCTTACCTCTGAATGATGAGTCCACACTGGCGTGGGTGTGGAAATACTCATTCTAGGTCCACCTGAGGGTTTCCGTTTAGGAGGCTTGCGGTTTCACTTAAAGCCTCGGGGCTTTCTCACACTGGCGTGGGTGTGGGGAGTTCGTCACTTGATGCGTCAGCCTGGAGCCACAGGGAGAGAGGGATGGAGCAGTGGAGGGGAGCAGCCGCCTGATGCAGCAGCCGCCTGATGCAGTTGAGGGGAGCAGCCGCCTGGAGCAGTTAAAGGGAGATGCCGCCTGGTGCAGTTAAGGGGAGATGCTGCCTGATGCAGTAAGGGGAGATGCCGCCTGGTGCAGTTAAGGGGAGATGCTGCCTGGTGCAGTTAAGGGGAGATGCCGCCTGGAGCAGTTGAGGGGAGCAGCCGCCTGGTGCAGTTGAGGGGAGATGCCGCCTGGTGCAGTTAAGGGGAGCAGCCGCCTGATGCAGTTAGCCGCCTGCAGACAAGAACCCCTAAACGTTGAAGGGAGAAGCCGCCTCCTGGTGCAGAGAAGGGAGAAGCCGCCTCCTGGTGCAGAGAAGGGAGAAGCCGCCTCCTGGTGCAGAGAAGGGAGAAGCCGCCTCCTGGTGCAGAGAAGAGAGAAGCCGCCTCCTGGTGCAGAGAAGGGGAGAGGAACCCCTAAACCCTGAAGGGGAGAAGCAGCCTGGTTTAGAGGAGAAGGGGAGAAGCCGCCTGGTTCAGAGGAGAAGGGGAGTAGCAGCCTGGTTCAGAGGAGGAGGAGAGTAGCCGCCTGGTGCAGATGAAGGGGAGGAGTAGCCTGGTTCAGAGGAGAAGGGGAGAAGCAGCCTGGTTCAGAGGAGAAGGGGAGTAGCCGCCTGGTGCAGAGGAGAAGGTGTGAAGCAGCCTGGTGCAGAGGAGAAGGTGTGAAGCAGCCTGGTGCAGAGTAAGGGGTGTAGCCGCCTGGTGCAGTTAAGGGGAGAATAGGAGAAGCAGCCGCCTCATCTAGAGAAGGGGAGAGGAAGGGGTGCAGTAGCCTGGTGCAGGAGTTGGGAAGCTGCTAAGGGGTGGAGGAGTTGGGAAGCTGCTAAGGGGTGGAGGAGTTGGGAAGCTGCTAAGGGGTGGAGGAGTTGGGAAGCTGCTAAGGGGTGGAGGAGTTTGGAAGCTGCTAAGGGGTGGAGGAGTTTGGAAGCTGCTAAGGGGTGGAGGAGTTGGGAAGCTGTAAGGGGTGGAGGAGTTGGGAGTTGGTGTGCAGCAAACAGCGACGTGCATCAAAAGCGGCCATGGAGGTTTTTTAGCCGAGTACGGCACACCCCTCAATCTTGAGGAAGTCGGTCCGTCGGCATCCAAGGGGATGCGGCGGGACGGATTTTTTGATCCATGGCTTGCGCATGCGCTGAACCAAAAAAAAAAAAACTTGGGAGTGGTGTGGACTTCGTGCTGGAGAGTTGACATAGCTGAGGTAGACTTGGTAGTGTTGTACAGCATGTACCAATATGATTGGAGATTGACCAGTGCTCACATGTTATTGTCAGCAAGCACCATCCTTTGCACAGAAAGAGCAAGCATGATCCCTTGCACAGTAAGAGCAAGCATGATCCCTTGTACCGTACTAGCAAGCATCAGACCTCGTACAGCAAGCATGATCCCTTGTACACGAAGAGCTAGCATGATTCATTGTACAGTAAGAGCAAGCATGATCCCTTGTACAGCAAGAGCAAGCATGATCCCTTGTACACTAAGAGCTAGCATGATTCATTGTACAGTAAGAGCAAGCATGATCCCTCCTTGAACAGTAAGGGGAAGCATTATCCCTTGTACAATAAGAGGAAGCATGATTCTTCGTATTGTACCCATTCAATTTCCTCCAACCACATGGTGGAAAACCAACCAGGCATTCGATACAACCTCCAGTTCCGTAACATACCGTACAAACAGAGCAAGCAAACAGTAGTGGGACCACACGAGACAAGCTGGATTGAGAAACAGTAGTAGCAGTCCTTGTACGGTTCTACTAGGATGCAGAGGCGAGTCAACAATGGTTCTAGCATGTGCCGGTGCAGCTCAGAGCTACCAGGTGCTGAAGAGTCAACAAAAAGGCATTTCCAAGTCCTCGGTTTAGGGTGCCATGAAAGTCGGGTGCCATTAAAGAGGGTGCCATTGAAGAAGAGTGCCATTGAAGCCGAGTGCCATTGAAGCCGAGTGCAATTCGAATCAGGTGCCATTAAAGTCGGGTGCCATTGAAGTCAGGTACCATTGAAGTTGGGTGCCTTTTAAGCCGAGTGCCTTTAAAGTCGGGTGCAATTCGAATCAGCTCTGCCAGGACGCGGAGTCAGGCAGAGCAGGCGCGCTCCTCAGGAGCCGCTCCAACTCATCGTTCACCTCCGCCTGCTGCTTCCACTCCTGGTGGTGGAGGGGCGAGTGGAAGGAGTGAAAGGGAGCGGGAGAAGGGACACAGGGAAACAGTGCATGGCTTCTGAGGGTGAGACACATGGAAAGAAAAGTGAGAAGGGACACAGGGAAAGTAGTAAGAAGGGAAACAGCACATCATTGCTCCTCAGCAGCTGATCCAACTCGTCGTTCACCTCTCCCTCCTGCTTCCACTCCATGTGGGATGGGGGGAGAAAGGGGCGAGCGAGGGAGAGCGACAGGGTAAGCAGCAAGAAGGGAATGGTGGCAGGCACGAGCAAACAGCAGCCAATCCAACTCATCGTTCACCTCCGCCTGTTGCTTCCACTCCTGGTGGTGGGGATGGGGGGAGGGGGAAGAGGGGTTTGGGACACAGGGAAGCAGTCGGGAGCGACGCTCACTGATCTAGCCACTCGCTAGCAAGCTAACCTCAAGGTCACCTTTCAACTGCTACGCCCCTACAGCGACTACAGCCTCTAGCCTGTCGCTAGGCCCCTACAGCGCCTGGATGCCGTCACAGGTCACACCCACTCACCCTGCATCACATCACTTACCTCGCGAAGTGCTGGATGCACATCACTGCATCACATCACTTACCTGCACTACAGCCTCACCCTGCATCACATCACTTACCTCGCGAAGCCTCCTCTTTCACCTTCAGCAGGCTCTCCACCCTCACCTCACAGCATGGCACACAGCATGGCTCACAGCCCTGACCTCACAGCCCTGACCTCACAGCCCTGACCTCACAGCCCTGACCTCACAGCCCTGACCTCACAGCCCTGACCTCACAGCCCTGACCTCACAGCCCTGACCTCACAGCCCTGACCTCACAGCCCTGACCTCACAGCCCTGACCTCACAGCCCTGACCTCACAGCCCTGACCTCACAGCCCTGACCTCACAGCCCTGACCTCACAGCCCTGACCTTGCATCCCCCACAAGGCCTGCCTGTGCACGCTCGCCTTCAACAAGCTCTCCACCTGCATCAGCCACTCGACCTGGTCTGCCAGAGCTCACCGGCACTTTGACCTCTCAGCCCTGCCACCTCACAGCACTATGGCCCTGCATCTCCCACTCCCCACACCGCCTGACAGCAATAAGTCCTGCCCTGACAGCAATAAGTCCTGCCCTGACAGCAATAAGTCCTGCCGTGTGCACGCTCACCTTCTGCAAGCTCTTCACCTCCATCAGGCACTCGATCTGGTCCGCTCGCTCGCTCACTCACTCACTGACCCTGCATCATGGCACTCTGACACCAGCGTCTGTCCCCTCACCTTCTGCAGGCTCTCCACCTCCATCAGGCGCTCGATCTGATCCGCTATGCTCGCCTGCCCTCAGAAATAAAGCACAGTACCATGGCGCACAACATGGCAGCATGGTGCACAGCATGGCAGCATGGCGCACAGCATGGCAGCATGGCGCACAGCATGGCGCACAGCATGGCGCACAGCATGGCGCACAGCATGGCGCACAGCATGGCACACAGCATGACACACAGCATGGCACACAGCATGGCACACAGCATGGCACACAGCATGGCACACAGCATGGCACACAGCATGGCACACAGCATGGCACACAGCATGGCACACAGCATGGCACACAGCATGGCACACAGCATGGCACACAGCATGGCACACAGCATGGCACACAGCATGACACACAGCATGGCACACACACACACACGGAGGTCAGTAAGGGATGCAGTGAGAAACAGGAAGGGCAGAAGAAGAAAAAACAACAGACCGAGGGGAGAAGGACTCACCGCAGCGCCTGCTGCCTCTGCTGTTGGCACGTCTGCATCCATCTCCACCTCGATCTCTATCATCGACAGCACCTGGTGGTAGAGGGGCAGGGCGGGAGGGTAGGGAGGGCAGGGTGGAGGGGCAGAGCGGAGGGGCAGTGTGGAGGGGCAGGGTGGAGGGCACAGAAGGGACGAGCGGAGAGTGTGCAGTTCTGGTCAATCATGCCTTCCCTAGCCTCTGCTGTGGGCACATCTGCATCCATCTCCACCTCGATCTCTATCAGCGACAGCACCTGCGGACAGAAGAGCAGAGCAGGGCAGGAGGGGCAGGGCGGAGAGGCAGGGCGGAGGGAACATTAGGGATGAGCGGAAGTTAACATATCACCTCCACCTCGATCTCTATCATTGGCAGCACCTGCGGACAGAGCGGTAGGAGGAGGGGGGTTGAAGACACACAAGGGATGAACGAAGAGTGTGTCATTTTGCTCCAGCACGCCCCGTCTAGCCCCTGCTGCCTCTGCCGTTGGCACGCCACAACCCCCCAGAGCGGCAGCGCCTCTCCCTCACAGCCCCCAGAGCCCTTCTCCACCTCGATCTCTATCATTGACAGCACCTGCGGGCCGAGGAGCAGGGTGGAGGGGCGTTGAAGGCACACAAGGGATGAACGAAGAGTGTGTCATTTTGCTCCAGCACGCCTAGACTAGCTCCTGCTGTCCATGCTGAAGGGATGGGCAGAAGGGCAGGGTGGAGGCGGGTGGAAGGCATGTAGAGACGAGGGGAGAGTGTGGCAGCCTGGACTAGAGATTTCGGGCTTCAGGCTTGGAAGTTTGGACAGTGCATTGCACCCTGGTCCCAACATTTCATTGCACGTGATGCAGCTGGAGCGGCGTGGTGACAGGAAGTAAGTCTGACATCCAATGACGGGACTACCTTGGCATAGCTGTCAACGAGGTTGATTCGCGCCAGCAGCCGCTGGTCTAGCCCCTTGCGCGCTGCCACCACCCTCTCCCACCGCGCACTGCCACAAATTCCATAATGAGTTGGGGAGGAGAGAGAGGGAGAGTGAGGACGAGAGGAGGAGGAGGAGGAGGAGTGGGGCAGAAGGGAGGACAAAAGGCGCCAGTGAGAGAAGGGAGAGAGAGGAGAGAGAGAGTAAGAGAGGGGAGATCGAGAGTGGGGCGGGCGAAGGTTACAAGAGGCGCCGAACCATATATGCACCACAAGGTGACGACGAATGGCCATGTATTGAGAGAAGAGAGGGGTATGGGGCCCTGGGGAGAGCGGTCAGGTCAGGTTATGAAGGAGAGAGGCAGCGCGCTGGGCTGGGTCGCCTCGCCATAGGAAAGCCAAGGACCTGTGGGGGGTGCAGCAAGAGGCATCCTCCAAAGGACCATGCTAGAATGATGTGGCAAACCTGTAAGTGACGTGGCACACCTGTAAGTGACGTGGTACATGGACTGCATCTTGTTCTGCATACATACATGTAGGTGACGTGGCACACCTGTAAGTGACGTGACACACCTGTAGGTGACGTGGCATACCTGTGGGTGACATGGCACACCTGTAGGTGGACGGCTGGCCGATGGACTGCATCTTGTTCTGCAGTTGACACATGCGCGCTAGCATGCGCACCTGGTGTGCACACCCATGCATGCATGTATGGACACATTCATACACACAAAGATACATCCATCCACACATGCAGACAAGCACACAGAGATGAGGGCGTGTGTGGCATGCAGCAATAACAGGGGCAAGCTTGCATGCAAACTACTGCAGGCTCTCTCCAAAAACTCTCCTCCTCTGCTTCCTCACACGCCTCCTCAGCGGCTGCAGCAGAGAGTGCCTCTAGTCTCTGCCTCAACACTGCATGCTGCTGCTGCAGCAATGGATGGCATGCATACAGTAGAGCAGAGGAAGGAAGGACGGACTCACCTCCTCTGCTCACTCATTCACTCACTCACCTCCTCGGCTGCAGCAGCAGACAGCGCCTCTAGCCTCTGCCTCAAAGCTGCGTGCTGCTCCAGCAGCTGCTGCCGCACTGCCATGCCGTCCACCACACTGCCAGGCAGCTGGGAGGGAGCAAGAGGTACAAGGAGAGATAGAGGTACAGGGGGAGAGGGGGACAAGGCGAATATAAGGTAAACGCTCGATTGTGAATGCTCCAGCAGCTGCTGCCGCGCTGCCATGCCATCCACCACGCTGCCTGGCAACTGGGGGGAGCCACAGGTACAGCAAGACATACAATGATATTGGTAATAACCCGACCGTGAATGACCCTGCAGCACAGCTGCTGCCGCACGGCGGTGCAGCGTATGAGCGGGCGGTGCAGCGTATGAGCGGGCGGTGCAGCGTATGAGCGGGCGGTGCAGCGTATGAGCGGGCGGTGCAGCGTATGAGCGGGCGGTGCAGCGTATGAGCGGGCGGTGCAGCGTATGAGCGGGCGGTGCAGCGTATGAGCGTGCTATACCAAGAATGCTTCAGCAGCACAGCTGCTGCCACACTGCCTCTCTTAAATCTGGAAGAAGCAAAAACTTGTAGTTCCCTCCAGCCGCAGCACCCACCACTCTACTGAACAACTTAAGTTTGCTTGTAGAAAAAAAGTATGTCTACAGAACAAGTGGCATACCTCTCTAAGCTTCGGCAGGAGCAGAAAGTTGTACGCTCCACCTGTTGCTGCACCACCAGCAGCCACCCACCCCACCACACTCCCCATCGTGCCATCTGTGAGCGCGTTTGGCTCCATTATCCCCATGCTCACCGCCGCCGCCCCCACCACGTTCGCCGCCACCAGTGCGCCGCCCAGAGGCAGCACCCAGGGCGGCAGCGACAGGCTGCCGCTGTCTCTAGTGGCCTTGGGCGGCGCGCGCAGTAACGCCAGCGTCTGCATCGTGACGTGATTGGTCAGAGCCATGGGTTCACTCGGATTCCACCCCGGGGTTCTATTCACAGGCGCCGGAAATACCCCCGCTATTTTCCTCTTAGAGGCAGAAGATTTTCGAGAAGAGGAGGAAGATGAGGGGAGGGAGGAGGAGAGGGAGGAGGCGAGGGAGGAGGAGAAGGAGGGGGCGGCGCAGGCGATGGTGATTCGCTCCCCGGATTGAGCGGGCACGGAGGGGGTTACAGTGGCGAAGGTGTTGATCTGCGACGTGCCGTCTGGTGCCTTGAGCCACTGTGCACCGCTGCTGGTGGGTCACCACGTTTTATGCGCACGAGGCGAAGGACTTTATCTAGTATGGGTGCAGAGTCGCTGGTTATGGGGTGGAGGAGGGATGGGGGCAGGGGAAGAAGAGAGGAGCTTTGAGCACCACGCTGTGCACCGCTGCTGGTGGGTCTCCGCATTTGATGCGCACGATGCGAAGGACTTTATCCAAGATGGGGGCAGAGTCACTGGTGGGGGTTGGGGGGGCGAGGGAGAGGGGACAAATGGGAGGTTGTGAGACGGAGAGGGCACGGAGGGGGTGACAGAGGTGAAGGTGTTGATCTGCGATGTGCCGTCTGGTGCCTTGAGCACCACACTGTGCACCACTGATGGTGGGTCTCCTCGCTTCATGCGCACAAAGCGAAGGACTTTGTCCAGCATGAGGGCAGAGTCACTGGTGAGAGGGGGGAGTGCATGGAGGGATGAAGGGATGGAGGCAGGAGAACACGAGTGGGGCCTTGAGCACCACGCTGTGCACCAATGCTGGTGGGTCTCCCCTCTTGATGCGCACAAAGCGAAGGACCTTTTCTAGTATCGGGGCAGAGTCACTGGTGGTGTGTGGAGGGATGGGGAGCAGAGGAAGGAGAGAGGGGCCTTGAGCAGCACACTGTGCACCGCTGCTGGTGGGTCTCGCGTTTTATGCACAGAAAGCGACGCACTTGTCTAGTTAGGGGGCAGAGTTGCTGGTGTGGGGGAAGCGCATGGAGGAGTGGAGGAATGGGAGGCAAGGGAAGAAGGAAGGGGCGTTGAGCACCACGCTACACTGTGCATTCCTGCTGGTGGGGACCAGCGCGCTTGATGTGAACGAGGTGAAGGACTTCATCTAGTTTGGGGGGCGAGTCACTGGTTATGGGGTGGAGGGACGGGGGTACGGGAAGAAGAGAGTGGCGTTGAGCAGGAAATGAGGTCTCCATACACCAACTCGTACTCGTGCTTTCACCCACATACATGCATGCTGATGAGCATATTCATGTATGTATCACATGGACCCATGTGGCTCACATTGGGATTCAGAGTCGCAGGAAATGAGGTTCCCTGACACCAACTCGCCCTCGTACTTGCACCATTGTGCCACACAGATGCACAGTACGGATACAGCATGCACGCATGTACCATCGCTCACATAAGAGACTGAGAGACACAGGAGATGAGGTCCCCAGACACCAGCTCGTACTCGTACTTGCACAGAACACTGCGTGCATGATTGTACTGCATACGTATACAATAAGAGTACCCCATCCATAAGAGTAGATATTGCTCACATAAGAGACTCAGAGTCGCAGGAAATGAGGTCCCCTGACACCAACTCGTACTCGTACTTGCACCCCGCACACCCCACCACCTGCGACGGATAGCGCATGAGGGGCGAGGGGCAGCGGCAGAGCGCCAAACAGGAGTAGGAGTAAGGGCGGTTGGAGGGAGAGGGGCACGCACGCAAAGGAATAGTCAAGGCAGATGAGATTAGGGCCGAGAATCCAAAAGACGAAGGGAAGCAAGGCTAAGGGCGTGGAAGAAACCAGAGGTTACGATAGAAAGGAACCTGATACATGCAGCCTGGGAGAAAGGGCGCAGGGAGCGGAGACCACTGCCAGGCCACGGGGCCTCACCTGCCTGCCTTGCTGTGGCTGCACCACAGCAAAGGCCTTGCGACACGTGGGGCAGTCCACTGTCACTCCGAAGGACACCTGCACGCGAGGGAAAGGATGCAAAGGCACGGAACACTTCATGTGAATGTTGAGTCGACTCGTGAGAGCATCACAGTAGAGTGAAGGCCTTGCGGCGTGAGTGGCAGTCCGCCGTCACTCCGAAGGACACTGCACCAGGAGGGGAGGGGCGCAAATGCACAAACCACTTGATGTGGCTTCTGAGTCGCCTTACGATTCGCCCCATGTGGCACGTGGGGCAGTCCACTGTCACTCCAAAGGACACCTGCACTGCACGCACGGGACGACGCACAGGCAGGCACCAACTGCTGTCACTTGGCGTGACTGCTGAGTTGAGTCATGCGAGCACCACAGTGACGTGAAGGCCTTGCGCCACGTGCGGCAGTCCACCATCACTCTAAAGGACACCTGCACGGAAGGGGAAGGATGCAATGAATTGACACGAACCACTTGGCATGACTGTTGAGTCGACTCATGAGTGCATTACAGTGAAGTAAAGGCCTTGCGGTCCCTACATAGCACCTCCCCCACCAGCGCCACCGCAACGTATGGCTGTTGCTTCCCCACTGTCACCTTTCCCCATTACCCACCCCTTCCCCTTTCCCCCCATCCCCACTTTCCTTTTATCCCATTCCCTTTACCCCACTGCACTCCCCACTCCCCTCGCCACCTCACCTCTCTGTACCCCTCGGGCAAGCCACGCTGCTGCACTCCCCCCACCAGCCACACCACAACTTCTGGTTGTTACTTTCCCCTTTCCCCTTTCCCCTTTCCCCTTTCCCCTTTCCCCTTTCCCCTTTGTCCACCTCACTCCCAACCCTCCCTCCCTCCCCTCCCCCTCCACACCCCCACCCTCACCTCTTGGTCCCCCTCAAGCACGCCCCGACGCTGCACCTCCCCCACCAGCGCCACCCCACATCACTTCCCCCCCTCCACACTCACCTCGCTGTCTCACCACTTTCCGCACCTCACTCCCCCCCTACCACCTCCCCCTCCCCCCCCCCTCCCCCCACCGGCTCACCTCTCGGTCCCCCTCGGGCACACCCCGCCGCTGCACCTCCCCCACCAGCGCAACGGCGTCCGCCACTCGCAGCAGCGCCGCCAGCCCCCTCACCATCGCCGCGTACACGCGCACGCCCACCGCGGGCCACACGCGCGCGCGCGCTGCAGGAAATAGGAGAGGGGGGAGAGGGAGATGGGGAGGCAGCAGCATCCGCCACTCTCAGCAGAGCCGCAATCACCCTCACCATCGCCGCATACAGGCGCACGCCCACCGCCGGCCACACGCGCGCACGCGCTGACGGCAGCGGGGGAAGATGGGAGACGGGGGCACAGGGGAAGGGGCGCGTGGGGGGGACGAGGAGGGGGAGATGAGGATGCAGAAGTATCCGGCAATGCCAGCAGTGCAATCGTCCCCACCAGTCGCTTATGTCTAATCGTACCGCCAATGTCCTTACTACTAATCCGCCATCCGCTAACGTACTGCCGCACCTGCCCCGGGAGCGCCCGCATTGAGCGCCAGTGCGGACGTCTTGCACGCATTCAGCAGCGAATAGCTGAGTGCCACGTTGCCCGCCGCCAGGCTCCCCTCCATCAGCCATGCCACGTCACGTCGCGTGAATCTCTCCGCCTTCCCCGCACCCCCCGCCCCTGCGCCTGCGCTTCCCACCCCCGGTCGTTGCCCCAATACCGCGCCCTGCGCTCTGCTGGCACCTGCCGCTCCCCCTTGCCCTTGCGCCTCCGCCGATCTCCCCTGACCTTGCGCTCTCTCCGCATTCCCCCCTGTCGTTTCCGCCTTCTTCTCCTTCGCACCCCCCAACAGACTCCCCAAACCGCCGAACCATCCCCCGCCCGCCTTCTTCTTCTCTTCCGCGGCGGCTGCAGCAGCTGCTGCTGCTGCTGCCGCAGCTTCCGCCTCCGCCTTTGCCGCAGCGGCGGAAGCAGCTTCCGCCGCTGCTGCTTCGGCCGCGGCAAGCGCCGCCGCTCCGCCCGCCTCCCCGCGCAACGCTGCCAGCTTCCCCACCAGCAGCTCCGCCAAGGTATCCGCCTCCTCCACTTCCGCCAACCATCTGCTGACGTCACGATCGTCTCCTACTCTTTCCGCCAGCGATGGTAACCGCTGGCGATATTTCGTTTGCGATTCGCTTTCGTCGCCCTTCGCGTCCTCCATATCAGTCTCATCGTCGTAGTCATCGTCGTCGTCTGTAGATTCTACACTCGAGTTTAATCCAAGTGCGGTTTCTGCGGCTCTTAATAACCGCGTTGACTCTTTCTCCTCTACCAAAGTTGCGGCCATGGCGGAATCCGCTAATGCATCCTTATCACTCGCGTTGCCGCTTAATCTGGACCGAATGCCACCTAGAGTTACATCCGCCTTACAAATTCGATTGACTCTGTATCCAGCTCTGCGAAACGCTACAGCGTTACTCGTTGCTGGTAACACGCGTCTCAAGCCATCATGGCGAGGAAGGATATTGCGGCTGCTCCTTGGGCTCTGAACCCTGGCCTGCGCAACCTCGGGCTCTCCATGAAGAGCCTGAGACGGCGCCAGCGGCAGAGACGCGCTCGCGCGAATAGCCGCCATTCTCGCTACGGCCTCGGCCTCAGGAGCTTCCTCAGCCTGGTCCTAGCACCGAGGAACCGAACGACGAATAAGAGAAGATAGGAACATGTGGATTCTGGAAATCCCAAGGGAGTGGAAGGGACGATGGTGAATGCCTGTGCGGCGGAAGGACGATACGGAGTAGCGGAAACGCAGCGGAAGGTGCGGATACAGATTTCGCCAGTCAGGCACGTGTGCGACATTCCCAGGGTTCCCATTGGTTTGTGTAACTGGCGGACTGGCGCAGAATGGCACGCATTGCGCAGGCGAACGGGGATGGGCGCGGAAACTGGCTGAGGGCTTGTTCGTAGTTTTGACACTGGTGTCAAAGTGGGATTTTGACACCAACATACAATGTATGTTGGTGTCAGAATTTCGCCCAGAGTCAGCCTGTCAGAATCATCAGACATCCCGCTCGCCCAGAGTCGCATCGCATCCCAACCAACCAAAACTTTCGCACTTGCTAAACCTGGCGCCCCGCTCCCACCTAATCAAACTAATCTACAGTGATTGACACGGAAACGTGGGCCGACTCGTGTTGACACGCATAAGCAGCTGGTGTCAAAACCACGAACAAGATCTGATACTTGTGTCGAATTTTGCCCCAACGGGGCAGAAAATGGATTTGCCTTGTTGGAAAGGCGAGACTGTGAAATCATGAACCAATCAAAGGCAGCGACCAAAATTTCGGGTGACCCGGTTTCTCGCTCAGGAGTGGCAGAAGCTGATCTTCAAACCTCTGACACGCGCCAGAAAACATTCTCCCTGTCAAGGTCGACGACGTGTAACCCGAATCCAGCGAGCAGCTTCGCGAATTCGTAACTCTCGGGAGCTAAACCTAGAGAAAATCGTCATGAACACGCGCTTTCCTTCTCGTTCCTCCTGCATCTCCTTTCTCCCTTATATGCCCTCAGCAAACTCGAAGCACATTCTCATAGTCGTTTCGGCAACGGCTCTCCAGCACCAGGCGTCGTGATCCTTACCGTCTGCGTTAGTCTTGTTCGCATTCCACATTGGTAGTAGGCCGCCCTGCATGCGTCGGATCCCGTGACTTGAAGAATCATTTCTCGAGCCTTATGACGTACTAGTTTCAGCACGCTAACAATCCAATGGTTGTTGTGAGTTTGGATCCCTCATCATCTTTAAGTTAATCCGGTATATTCTAGGACTCGTCAACTAAATCGGTACAAAAACTCACTCACGAACCTTCGGAGCAGCTTGTCTTTATTAGCGCTTCTTTCCGTCCTACTCCCAGTTTGCTTCTTACTTCCCTGACACTATCCGCCATCGATGTTCGCTTCTTTGAATAGAATATATTGCAGACAGTCTTTTAAAAGAGTGCACCTTCACCCCGCACGCGCCTCTCCCTTACTACAGCAGCAGGACAAGTACATCTACACGCCGTTGAGCGACGTGCCTGCAGCAGCGGGGCAGAAGGTCAATGTCTTCGGCGTGGTGGTCCTCGCAGACAACATCCGGCACTCCCAAGGGACGGGTACTCGTTCTCAAGATTCCTGTGTTTCGTCTCAGTTTTGTTCACGCAACAGTCCCCTTGCTGGGGTCTCTCCCTCCCTTCCGCCCTCCTTGTCTGGTTTCTTAAGGACTGTTTCTTTTTCGTGAATTACTTTTTTCCCTAACTCGCGCGAGCATCCCCTTGCAGATTTCTACTGCACGCTGCTGTTAGCGGATACCACGTGTCACAGCCCTGGCTATGCCGTCAATCTCTTTGCTCCTCGAGCTGATCAACTACCGCAAGTGGCCAATGTCGGCGATATTATTCGCATCCACAGAGTGATGGTCAGTAGCTGTTTTAAAAAAATGCTTTCACAGATTGATGTCAGAAAATTGGCAATATGTACTATTTGTTTGTACTATTTACTTAGAATTGACTCCCTCATTATGAACCTCATCCGCTGTACGTTGCTTGCTGCCTTCCCCCCACTATCTCATGCAGAGCACGGTGATACACAGCGGTCCCCTGGGCACGGCGCGCGCAGGGCTGGGCAGCGCCCACGCTCTCTTCTCAGGGGCGCCAGGCGCGCCCCTTGAGCCCTACTCCTTCTCGCACAAAACCTTCTCACCACTCTCCGACGGCCACAAGCAGCTCGTGCAGCAGCTCAGGGCCTGGGCGCACGGCTTCCCCTTCCTCATCCGTAAGCTGGAAAGAGAGGGGGGAGGGGGAGGAAGGTGGTGAGCTGGGGAACTGGAGGGACGGGGGAAGTTGATCTGAGACGACCCGAAACTTCCCCACGCTCTCCCGCGGCTCATCAGCTCATCCAGCAGCTCAGGGCCTGGGCGCATGGCTTCCCCTTCCTCATCCGTAAGTCGGGGGAGGGGAAGCAGGGGGGAGGTTAGGGTAATGAAGGCACGGCCTTGCACGGCTCGTACTCACCTCACCACTGTCCTGCGCCCACCAGCAGCTCGTGCAGCAGCTCAGGGCCTGGGCGCACGGCTTCAACTTCCTCATCCGTAAGCTGGGGGGAGGGAGAAGAGGGGGATGTTTTGGGATTGGAGGAATGTGGATTCGATTGGGCCATTGGTTAGTAAGCACAGCATCCCCTTCGTGAAAGGACGGCTTTGGGTCCAAGAAGTAGCGTTCATTTGTTTTCTGCCTCCCTGCCTTCCCCTCCTTGACTCCACTCAGGCCCACCCACAGCACCGGAGCCGTTGCTGAGCATGAGCAGCATCCATGCGGACATTGCCTTTGCCTTTGATGCAGCAGCACCTCTGTGCTCTGCCTGCCTCCCTCCATCCATTCCCCGCAATAACGTCTGTCAGGCCCACCCACAGCACCGGAGCCATTGCTCACCATCAGCAGCATCGATGCGGACATTGCCTTTGACCTCTGCGTGCAGGTCCGTTGCTCACTCCCATGGTGACTTCTGTGCTCATGGTTATTCCATCCTGATCGAAATGAGTGTTCTCCATGTATGATGTATCATCTTCTGGTTTAGCTTTTCCTTGGCCACCCTTGCTGCGCTGTTGGCATGAGAATTTCTGCCTGGTTGCACGGGGGGTTGTGTGTGGGGGGGGAGGGGTGGGGAAAGAGGGGAAGTAGGAGGCGGGGGGTGATTATGGGTGTGCGTGGTCGTGCATACAGGCATGTGTATACGCATGCCTGTGTGTGTGCAGGTGTGGCACGTAGTAAAGAAGGATCGGATGGTGGTGCTCTTTGTCTGGGATGGCACCGACCTCCCTCTCCCGTCACTTTCTGCGTGAGTCGTGCTGCCTTATTCTCCTTAAATTGGTGGTGCTCTTCGTCTGGGACGGCGCACTCCACTTATTCTCTCTCCCGCCGTCTCTTCCCCTCCCGCCTTGTGCAGGCCGGCAGCACCAATCCCCTCCAGCCATGTCCCGCATCAAGGCCAGCCATTCAGTGTCCCTGACTCCTCCACCACACCATCTGCGCCCTCCAGCTCATCCGTTCCCGAACCAGCACCCACTGGGCCGCCCACTTCAACCCCTGCATCAGCATCAGCACAGGAGAGAATGCATGCTGCCTCTCCTCCCCCCTCCACTCGCTCATTGCACCCGCTCTTTGCCATCGGAAGTCGCCCCGCCCCTCCTCTCTCTGTGCTCCAGCGTGTTCCCCCTCTGGGCTCCCTGCTGCCTGTTATGTGCCACGTGGACGATCTTCACTGGCTGCTGCACCGCCTGCACCCGTCTGTAGCGCAGGCGTTGGAGGGGGAGGGAGCAGGGGGGACGGACCAGGCAGGGCACGAGGGGGAAGGGGGGAGCAGAGGTGAAGGGGGAGGGAGGGGTGGGGAGGGTGCGAGGGCAGAGCGAGATCAGAATGGGGGCCGGGGAGAGGGAGGGGGAGGGGCAGCAGTGGGGAGTGAGGAGAGGCGACAAGATGGGGAGCGCGGGGAGGACGGGGAGGAGGGGAGGGTGGCGGGAGTGTGGCAGCAGGAGGGGGTGGTGCCATGCTGGGTGCGGCTGAGGAACATCAGAGCCACGTGCCACGGTGCCAGAGGGGATTGGCTGGGCCTTTTCAACAACTCCAGCCGCCTGAGCCTCGTCAGGGAGTGCTACGCGGACGTAGCAGAGCTGACAAGGTAACTCCGACCCATTTGTGTTGTGGTGTGGTTGATGAAATGACATTCAGGCGCACCCGCAGTCTGAGCCTCGTCAGGGAGTGCTACGCGGGCGTTGCACAGTTGACAAGGTAAGTTCAACGCACCGGTGTTCTGGTTTGGCTGGGGCAGTTCAGGTACAGCAGCCGGCTGAGCCTCGTTAGGGAGTGCTACTCGTATGTAGCAGAGTTAAAAAGGTAACGCTCATGTTGCCGCCCTGCTCGCTATCCCATTCCGTTCTTTTGCATTCCTCTTCCCATGGTTACGCACATCGGCGTGTGAGGATGCAGAGAGGGGTTTGGAGGCACCTATAAGGGTTGTCTCATCTCGTGCACTTGCCATTCCCCTGGCTACCCCAACAGCAAGTATGCAGAGAGAGCAGCGAGTGAGGACGCCCACACGCGGATAGGCAACATGGCTCTGTGGGCCTCCATCCACCAGCATACACGTCAGTCCATCCATTGCCCCCACTCCCACACACGTGTCAGCCCATTAACCTCCGCTCACCTCTTACCCGCCCAACCAACCCGCTTTCGTTTTCCTCCCTGGGCCTCCTTTCACCAGCGCACACACGCATCAATGCATCACCCATCTTCCCTCATTCCTGCCGCTCTTCCAACCCAAAACACCTCTTCGTGTCGTCTGTAGTTCTGCTGACATGTATCTGTCCCACAATTTAACAGCCCCGCTCCACCACCTTTGCATCACGCTTTCAACGTCTATCTCTGTCCTCTGCTGTGCCCTCCTCTGTGCCCTCCTCTGTGCCCTCCTCTGTGCCCTCCTCTGTGCCCTCCTCTGTGCCCTCCTCTGTGCCCTCCTCTGTGCCCTCCTCTATGCATTCCTCTTTGCTCTCCTCTGCGCCCTCCTCTGTGCTCTCCTCTGTGCTCTCCTCTGTGCTCTCCTCTGATTCCTTTCCTGCGCCCCACTGTTTGGCACCAGGCATCGCCCGTTCCCTGCAGCCGTACTCCACCCTTCGCCAGATCTACACCCATCCTGTGGTGAGTGATTGGTAACCCGCTCCAAACACCAGAGTGAGAGGGGAGTGTGGGACGGCGGAGATTGAGAGACGGATGAGAGATATGGGGGAGAGCGGGACAGGGGAGTGCTAGACGGGGAAAGTGAGACAAGGGAGAGTGAGACAAGGGAGTGAGACAGGGGAGACTGAGACAGGGGAGACTGAAACCAGGCACACACTGCTTCTTTTCTCTTACCTTTTCCTCTTTCCTGTGACACCTTTGACTCTCTTTTCTCCTCCATCTTCCATATCTTATCTTGCCATCTCTCCACTTTGTCTTGGTGTTCGGCTTCCTACCCTACCCACGCCAGGTGCCGTACCGCTTCCGCTGTGCAGCGAGAGTGATCTTCGCCTCTGCCATCCACCCCGCCCGCTTCACTGCCTTCGTTCCAGACAAGCCCCGCTCCCTCTCCTCCTCTCCTGCACCCCCGCGCTCCTCCACTCCTCCACCTGCCGCTGCCACATCTGCTGGTGCCACTGCTGGTACTGATGCAACCGAGGGGACGGGGGAGGAAGGGACGGGAAAGCGGTCAGGAGAGGAAGGCGTGGAAAGGGCGCGAGCGAAGCTGCGAAAAGGGGAGGATAATGCTGACGTGGCAAGGCAGGATGTTGCTCACGTGGCGAGGCAGGAGGGGGCTGATGTGGCGCCACAGGAAGACGCTGAGGCTAATGTGGCAAAGGAAGCAGTAGGAAAGGGGGTGGAAGAGGGAGAAGGAGGTGGTTCGGGGAAAGCAGCAGAGACAGCAGGCACATCAGAGGGCGTGGGCGGAGTGGCTTCAGCAAAGGGAGAGTCCACAGGAAAAGCAGGTTCTGGGGTGAGAAGGAAGTGGGTGGCAGGGCTTGTCTTGGTGCTCGAGGATGCTACGGGGCGGTTGCTCGTCCGCCTCGCCTCACCTAATGCCGTAAGGATCGTCCGGTTTCCCATGGTTCCAATCTTGACGTACAAGGCTTCATCTTGCTCCTTGTTCATGCTGCACAAACAGAGGGGTATTTTCAATTATCACCCTTATCTTGATGCACGGCTAAAGGTTCGCTCAGCAGCACCTCCCAACCCAATCATTTTCTTCATGCATCTTCATTGCTGATCCTCCCCTTTATTTTCACCCTTCTTCCCATTCGCTCCTCATGGCCTTCTTGAAAGACTTCCTTCCAGTGACCAAATAGTTTCTTTGTCAAGGACTTCTCTCAAACTGCCTGCCTTGACTTGGTTTCCCTCTTGTCTGCTGTGCCTTTCTTCCTTTCCCACCCCAATCAGGAGGTGTTCTTTTCAGCAACAGCGGAGGAGTTGCGCAAGGATGCAGGGTTGTCTGCGAGAGCAGCTGCAGGCATGGCTATGCTGCTGGGTGTGCCCAGAGACCACGGGCAGGATACAGGATTTGAGTATGGACAGCAAGCACATGCAGGGATTGAACGGGATGCTGTGCATGAGAATGAAGATGCACGGGTGGAAAGGGAAGCACGTAATCCGCCGTCGATTGACTGCTGTGTGTTTTCGTACCACCATGTGAGGAAAGATGGACTGTCGAAAGAGAAGATGTTTCAAATATTCCAGACTAGGTTGCTGACTCAACATGATGGTGCATGACGAGCTTTTTTTTGAATGAGCCTCGCATACGCCGGCCTCTATCCAGGTTTTCTGGAACACACGAATCCCTGTTTCCATACAAAATTATGTTTAAGCCCATAGCCTGTCACAATGCACTGGTGCTCTGTGGACAAGATGAAAGTCATATAGTAATCAGTTTAGATGATGTTACCTTGTATTGACAGTAAGTGCTGGTGTTGGTGTATTATCCGATTGTGTCCTCATCATTGTCACCCTAGCTGTGACGGGGACCTCTCTGTGTGGGCCAACCTTGGGATCTCACCACCACCAGCGCACCATTTCTCCATTCAGGATTCACATTGATGCGAATCACTGGCTTTGTAGGTCGGAGATAAGGATCTAGGTCGTCCGCACCTTACCTCTGGTACACTCTCGTCCGACGCGTGCTGCGCATATTTAACCTCTTGATCGCTTCGTAACGCGTTTGCGGTAGCGATGGCGCCGCGCGTGCTTGGCCTGCTGGCTTTGATCGCGATCTCGGTGGTGGGATGCGTCGCCTTCTCGGAGGAGCGACCGACGGATCAGCGCATCCTGGTGCTGCTGGACGACCTCAAGAATAAGGACTCCTACTCCATCTTCTTTAAGAACCTCGCAGGTAATTAAGAACGTCTCAGGTAGCCACGAATCATGGAGGTCGTTCGCGATTTGCAGGAGATTCACAGATGCTCCAGAGGACCGTTTTATTGAAGAGCTTCCAGTCAATGAGAATTTTCCTGTTGGAATTGAGACGTTCGCAGTCACCTAACAGTACGGATTGCGCTAGATCCTGGGTTTCCGCATTACAGCAGGATATTTTGCAGATCGAGAGTCGTAAAGTTCCCACCTTTATCACAGGGCAAGCGTACGGCGACAGTCCCGTAGCATGCGAGGCTGAACATAGCTGACCAACAAATTGGCGACGCTGACACTACTTCCTGAGTCGCCGACACTGACATAGATTTAGTTTGATGTGTTCTAGTCACTGACACAGAAATAGTTTGATGTGTTCTAGTCACTGACATAGCTACGTGATTGGCGACTCCGCAATACCTATATCTGCGACACTGATATAGCTTACTGAACAGGCGACACTGGCAAATGTGACCGAATTAGCAACACTCATAGTTCACATATCTGCTCGGCATCTTTCAAGATCTGGCCGCGCATTGCGATACGATCCTCCTCGGCCAGTCACATATCCACTAATGCGCCATGTCTGACTCATCGTCGTGCATTTAGCATTCACAATGATCCCATCTCGTGTCCTCGGCTTGTAGCTTTCCGCTGACGTCCCCATCACTCGCGGCCAGCGTCTCATTTGGAACCTCCTCCTTTGATTCTCGCCGTTCTTCCTTTTTCCCCGCCTCTCCCCTCTCCACGTCCTGGTCTTCCGTTCCGCAGATCGCGGGTACGAATTGGATTTGCGCGCGGCGAGGGATTCGAGTCTCGTGCTGCAGAAGTACGGCGAGTACCTCTACGACGCCGCCATCATCCTCGCGCCCAAAGTCTCTTGTACGTGTTACTTTCTATCTGTGTTTTCTCTAATGCCGCGTTCTAAGGCGACTCATTAGTGCCTCTACGATGCCGTTATCATCCTCGGCCTCAATGTCTCATGGTACGTCTTGCGCTTGCACGTCCATTCTTAAAATCACGCTATAAGCTGAGCTGGCACCACTACGACGCCGCCATAATCCTCCACCCCGAATTCTCGTGTACGTCTTGCGTCCTCACGTGTGAATGATGAAGTTGTGTAGTAAGGGTGAACGAGTACCCCTACGACCCCGCTACCGCCCTCGCGCCAACGTCTCCTGTACATCTTGCGATCTCGCGTGTGAATGATGAAATTCCGCTCCAATGCGACTCACTAGTACCTCTACCACGTCGCTATCATCCTCTACCGCATGGCGCACACGTTGCCGCACACTCTGCTTCCTCCCCCCACCTTCCCCGTGCTCCCACGTTCCCCGTCCCCCTCATTTCCCAGCATTCGGCGGCGTGGTGGACGTGCCAGCGATCCTTGACTTGGTGAGCTCGGGCCACGACCTCATCCTCGCCTCTTCGTCCTTCATTCCCTCACCCCCCCCACTTACCCCGTGCTCCCCATCTCTTAGCGTTCGGCGGCGTGGTGGACGTGGCGGCGATCCTCGACTTCGTGGACTCGGGTCACGACCTCATCCTCGCGGCGGACAGCGGCGCGTCCGACACCATCCGCGATATCGCACTCGAGTGCGGCGTGGACCTCGACGAGGTATGTGTTCTCGCGTCTCTTTCAGATAGGCCACACTGGCACTATCAACGGCGTCGCTGACACCAAGCGCGATATCGCACTCGAGTGCGGCGTGGACCTCGACGAGGTATGTGTTCTCGCGTCTCTTTCAGATAGGCCACACTGGCACTATCAACGGCGTCACTGACACCAAGCGCGATATCGCACTCGAGTGCGGCGTGGACCTCGACGAGGCATGTGCTCACGCGCCTCCCGGGTCTCACTATTTCCATTCGCGATATTGCAGTCGAGTGTGGCGTGCATCTCGACAAGCCATGCCTCTCACGTCTCTGACTGATCCTATCCGCGATTTTGTGCTGGAGTGCGGTGTAATTGGCAATGAGACTCACTTTTCCAACTCCATCCGCGATATTGTCTGATGCGATGGCAGAACCCAAAGGGCGTGGTGATCGACCACCAGCAGTACGCGCGGGTGAGCGGGCGCAGGGACGACCACACGCTCGTGCTCGGCAGCAACCTCATCAACTCCTCCGTCATCCTCGGCGCTGCCCCCATCAAGGTATGCTCTGCTGGAATACCTTACCATCCCATTGGAACCGTGTAAAGGTGACTTGTATCCGGCTGCTTGTTCATTCCAATTTCTTGTGGTGGCATCTCCGTCTCTTTTGTATGCAAACGGGATTTGGTTTTGCTTCAACTGTCGTTCCTCTCCTTGTTTCTCTTCTCCACCTTCACTCTGCACCGTTCTTTCTTCCTCTGCATTCCCACCCTCCGCATGGTTGCACCACAGGGCCCCGTTCTCTTCCAGGGGATTGCCATGACAGTCTCGCCCACGTCTGAGCTGGTATGCCCTCCGTCGTCGCTCCACACATCCTTTCAGCTATCCCCCGCCCTGCTCCCCTCCCCCCTTGCCCCTTGCATGGTACTCGTTCATGCCTCTTGTCGGTCACACCTCTGAGACGCACAGCGCGCTCCATTGCTTCTATGCTGCTTACCCCTCTCCGCTAGCTCCTCACCCTCCTCCATCACGCCACCAGCTGCGCTGGTGCTCGCAGTCCTTGCGCTCAGTCCTTCCACCTCATCTCTTGAGAAATTCTTTCGGGGAACCCCCCCCTTTCTCCCCATCCCCCCACCCCCCTCTCCCCCGCCCCCTCTTCCGCCCCCTCCTTCCCCTCTCCTTGTCCCTTCGTCCCCCCTCGTCCCCCCTCCCTGTCCGTTCCCCCTTCCCTCAATGCGCCATCAGGTGGTGCCGGTGCTCTCAGGCTCCCCCACGGCCTACGCGGCGGACCCAGCAGCGGCTCTCAAGGAGCCCCCCGCGCTGCAGGGCAAGGCGGTCTCGCTCGTGGCGGCCATGCAGGCGCGCAACAACGCGCGCGTGCTTATCTCCGGCTCCCTCGCGCTCTTCACAGACAGGTGCGTGGGTGCTGGATTGGGGGTGAGAGGGGGACGAGGGAGGGGGGAGTGAGACGGAGAATTGGAGATGTGAAGGGCACGTCTTGTCAGGAGAATTGGGGGGAGGGAGGGGGAGAGGAGGGAGAAAAGGGGTAGGAGGGCGGGCCATGTATCAAAAGCAGGTCCAAGAATATGTGTCGACTACTGCCAACCCCCTCCCTCCTCCTCCCCTCCCCTTCTTTTGCCCCTAGTTTTTTTCCTTCTTCAGTTTCTTCCGCACAGCTCTTCCACCTCCGCCGACCCCGCCCCAACCCTTCCTCTTCTGCCTCGTCTCTCCTCTCCCTTCCCTTGCGCCTCCTCTCTTTCTCTCTCCTCTTCCTTCGCCCCTCCTTGTTATCCCTCTCAGGTTCTTCCGCGCAGGTGTCTGCCACCTCTGCCAACCCAACATTAACCCTTCCTCTTCTGCTTCGTCTCTCGTCCCCTTCCTTTGCCGCCCCTCTCTTTCTGTCCTCCTCTTCCTCTTCTCTCTTCCGCCCCTCCTTATTTCCCCCTCTCAGTTTCTTCCGCGCGGTGGTGGACGTCTCTGCCACCTCCGCCGACCCCGCCTCACAAAACGCCAGGACCTCCCAGTGGCTGTCGCCGGCCGGCAATGAGCAGTTTGTCACGGAGCTCTCCAAGTGGACCTTCCACGAGAGGGGCCACCTCAAGGTGAGACAATGGGCAGATGAAGTTACTCGCCATCCCACCACCATCCCACAGTCCCCTCACCATCCCATCTGTCCTCACCACTGCTCAGCTCCCCATTTCATCTTTCTGAACCGCTGCTCACCACTCTCTTCCGTTCCATCCCCCCGCCCCACACCTCTCAGGCTGTGAACCTGCGGCACAACAAGGCTGGTGAGAGCACGGAGCCTGCAGTCTACCGCGTCTCTGACCACCTGGTGTGCACCCGTCATGTGCCCGCTTGCACTGCATCAGTTCACTGTGTGCCTGCCCGCCTGCCTGCCCGCCTGCCTTCCCGTCTGCCTGCTCGCTTGCTTTCTGTGAACCTTGCTTGCAGCGTACAGTGGCTGTTTTGTCTTGCACCCCTCCCCTTTCCACCCTTTCCCCTTTCCCCCCTCAACGCCATTTCGCACGGGTGCATTCATGGTGCACGGGTGCATTCATGGTGCGCGGGTGCATTCATGGTGCACGGGTGCATTCATGGTGCGCGGGTGCATTCATGGTGCGCGGGTGCATTCATGGTGCACGGGTGCATTCATGGTGCGCGGGTGCATTCATGGTGCGCGGGTGCATTCATGGTGCACGGGTGCATTCATGGTGCACGGGTGCATTCATGGTGCGCGGGTGCATTCATGGTGCGCGGGTGCATTCATGGTGCACGGGTGCATTCATGGTGCACGGGTGCATTCATGGTGCGCGGGTGCATTCATGGTGCACGGGTGCATTCATGGTGCGCGGGTGCATTCATGGTGCACGGGTGCATTCATGGTGCGCGGGTGCATTCATGGTGCGCGGGTGCATTCATGGTGCACGGGTGCATTCATGGTGCGCGGGTGCATTCATGGTGCACGGGTGCATTCATGGTGCGCGGGTGCATTCATGGTGCGCTGGTGCATTCATGGTGCGCGGGTGCATTCATGGTGCACGGGTGCATTCATGGTGCGCGGGTGCATTCATGGTGCACGGGTGCATTCATGGTGCGCGGGTGCATTCATGGTGCGCGGGTGCATTCATGGTGCGCGGGTGCATTCATGGTGCACGGGTGCATTCATGGTGCACGGGTGCATTCATGGTGCGCGGGTGCATTCATGGTGCACGGGTGCATTCATGGTGCGCGGGTGCATTCATGGTGCACGGGTGCATTCATGGTGCGCGGGTGCATTCATGGTGCACGGGTGCATTCATGGTGCGCGGGTGCATTCATGGTGCGCGGGTGCATTAATGGTGCGCGGGTGCATTCATGGTGCGCGGGTGCATTCATGGTGCGCGGGTGCATTCATGGTGCGCGGGTGCATTCATGGTGCACGGGTGCATTCATGGTGCGCGGGTGCATTCATGGTGCACGGGTGCATTCATGGTGCGCGGGTGCATTCATGGTGCGCGGGTGCATTCATGGTGCGCGGGTGCATTCATGGTGCGCGGGTGCATTCATGGTGCGCGGGTGCATTCATGGTGCGCGGGTGCATTCATGGTGCGCGGGTGCATTCATGGTGCGCGGGTGCATTCATGGTGCGCGGGTGCATTCATGGTGCGCGGGTGCATTCATGGTGCGCGGGTGCATTCATGGTGCGCGGGTGCATTCATGGTGCGCGGGTGCATTCATGGTGCGCGGGTGCATTCATGGTGCGCGGGTGCATTCATGGTGCGCGGGTGCATTCATGGTGCGCGGGTGCATTCATGGTGCGCGGGTGCATTCATGGTGCACGGGTGCATTCATGGTGCACGGGTGCATTCATGGTGCGCGGGTGCATTCATGGTGCGCGGGTGCATTCATGGTGCACGGGTGCATTCATGGTGCGCGGGTGCATTAATGGTGCGCGGGTGCATTCATGGTGCGCGGGTGCATTCATGGTGCGCGGGTGCATTCATGGTGCGCGGGTGCATTCATGGTGCACGGGTGCATTCATGGTGCGCGGGTGCATTCATGGTGCACGGGTGCATTCATGGTGCGCGGGTGCATTCATGGTGCGCGGGTGCATTCATGGTGCGCGGGTGCATTCATGGTGCGCGGGTGCATTCATGGTGCGCGGGTGCATTCATGGTGCGCGGGTGCATTCATGGTGCGCGGGTGCATTCATGGTGCGCGGGTGCATTCATGGTGCGCGGGTGCATTCATGGTGCGCGGGTGCATTCATGGTGCGCGGGTGCATTCATGGTGCGCGGGTGCATTCATGGTGCGCTGGTGCATTCATGGTGCACGGGTGCATTCATGGTGCGCTGGTGCATTCATGGTGCGCGGGTGCATTCATGGTGCGCGGGTGCATTCATGGTGCGCGGGTGCATTCATGGTGCGCGGGTGCATTCATGGTGCGCGGGGGCATTCATGGTGCGCGGGTGCATTCATGGTGCGCGGGTGCATTCATGGTGCGCGGGTGCATTCATGGTGCGCGGGTGCATTCATGGTGCGCGGGTGCATTCATGGTGCGCGGGTGCATTCATGGTGCGCGGGTGCATTCATGGTGCGCGGGTGCATTCATGGTGCGCGGGTGCATTCATGGTGCGCGGGTGCATTCATGGTGCGCGGGTGCATTCATGGTGCGCGGGTGCATTCATGGTGCGCGGGTGCATTCATGGTGCGCGGGTGCATTCATGGTGCGCGGGTGCATTCATGGTGCGCGGGTGCATTCATGGTGCGCGGGTGCATTCATGGTGCACGGGTGCATTCATGGTGCGCGGGTGCATTCATGGTGCGCGGGTGCATTCATGGTGCACGGGTGCATTCATGGTGCACGGGTGCATTCATGGTGCGCGGGTGCATTCATGGTGCGCGGGTGCATTCATGGTGCGCGGGTGCATTCATGGTGCACGGGTGCATTCATGGTGCGCGGGTGCATTCATGGTGCGCGGGTGCATTCATGGTGCACGGGTGCATTCATGGTGCGCGGGTGCATTCATGGTGCACGGGTGCATTCATGGTGCGCGGGTGCATTCATGGTGCGCGGGTGCATTCATGGTGCGCGGGTGCATTCATGGTGCGCGGGTGCATTCATGGTGCGCGGGTGCATTCATGGTGCGCGGGTGCATTCATGGTGCGCGGGTGCATTCATGGTGCGCGGGTGCATTCATGGTGCGCGGGTGCATTCATGGTGCGCGGGTGCATTCATGGTGCGCGGGTGCATTCATGGTGCGCGGGTGCATTCATGGTGCGCGGGTGCATTCATGGTGCGCGGGTGCATTCATGGTGCGCTGGTGCATTCATGGTGCGCGGGTGCATTCATGGTGCGCGGGTGCATTCATGGTGCGCGGGTGCATTCATGGTGTGCGGGTGCATTCATGGTGCGTGGGTGCATTCATGGTGCGCGGGTGCATTCATGGTGCGCGGGTGCATTCATGGTGCGCGGGTGCATTCATGGTGCGCGGGTGCATTCATGGTGCGCGGGTGCATTCATGGTGCGCGGGTGCATTCATGGTGCGCGGGTGCATTCATGGTGCGCGGGTGCATTCATGGTGCGCGGGTGCATTCATGGTGCGCGGGTGCATTCATGGTGCGCGGGTGCATTCATGGTGCGCGGGTGCATTCATGGTGCGCGGGTGCATTCATGGTGCGCGGGTGCATTCATGGTGCGCGGGTGCATTCATGGTGCGCGGGTGCATTCATGGTGCGCGGGTGCATTCATGGTGCGCGGGTGCATTCATGGTGCGCGGGTGCATTCATGGTGCGCGGGTGCATTCATGGTGCACGGGTGCATTCATGGTGCGCGGGTGCATTCATGGTGCGCGGGTGCATTCATGGTGCGCGGGTGCATTCATGGTGCGCGGGTGCATTCATGGTGCGCGGGTGCATTCATGGTGCGCGGGTGCATTCATGGTGCGCGGGTGCATTCATGGTGCACGGGTGCATTCATGGTGCACGGGTGCATTCATGGTGCACGGGTGCATTCATGGTGCACGGGTGCATTCATGGTGCGCGGGTGCATTCATGGTGCGCGGGTGCATTCATGGTGCGCGGGTGCATTCATGGTGCGCGGGTGCATTCATGGTGCGCGGGTGCATTCATGGTGCGCGGGTGCATTCATGGTGCGCGGGTGCATTCATGGTGCGCGGGTGCATTCATGGTGCACGGGTGCATTCATGGTGCGCGGGTGCATTCATGGTGCGCGGGTGCATTCATGGTGCGCGGGTGCATTCATGGTGCGCGGGTGCATTCATGGTGCGCGGGTGCATTCATGGTGCGCGGGTGCATTCATGGTGCGCGGGTGCATTCATGGTGCACGGGTGCATTCATGGTGCGCGGGTGCATTCATGGTGCGCGGGTGCATTCATGGTGCGCGGGTGCATTCATGGTGCACGGGTGCATTCATGGTGCACGGGTGCATTCATGGTGCGCGGGTGCATTCATGGTGCGCGGGTGCATTCATGGTGCGCGGGTGCATTCATGGTGCGCGGGTGCATTCATGGTGCGCGGGTGCATTCATGGTGCGCGGGTGCATTCATGGTGCGCGGGTGCATTCATGGTGCGCGGGTGCATTCATGGTGCACGGGTGCATTCACGAGTGGGCGGGCAGTGAGTGCAAGCCGCTCCCTTGTTTCGTCTCCATCGTTCTTTCTCCGTCCTTTCCCCCCTCTATTTTTGGGTTGCCCCCTCCCTGCTCATGGCAGGAGTTCGCGGTGGACATCTTTGAGTGGGCGGGCAGCGAGTGGACCCACTACCTCCTGTTCCTTGCAATGTTTGTTCTTCCCCATTGCTCCCTCGCTGCTCCCATGCTCCCTCGCAGGAGTTCGCAGTGGATATCTATGAGTGGGCGGGCAGCGAGTGGGTGCCATTCAAGGGCGACGATGTGCAAGTGCAGTTCTACATGATGAGCCCCTACGTGCTCAAGACACTGTCGCACGATGACAAGGTGGGTGAGATGCATGTCCTGATGGGGGGCGGGGGAAGGTGTAGCATGCCTGAACAATCATACTCGCGCGTGCAAGTGCAGTTCTACATGATGAGCCCCTACGTGCTCAAAACACTCTCACATGATGACAAGGTGAGCGAGATGCAGATGCAATCAGCCCCTACGTGCTCAAGTCACTCTCGCACGATGACAAGGTGAGATGCGGATGCATGCCACAGCACTACACACTCAGCTCTGATGTGTTAAAGACATCCACACGCAACGGAAAGGGCAGTCTACAATCTTCAATCTGCACCCACGTGCTCGCTCACACCCTTCATTCTCCCTCTCCACCCTCCTTTCGCCTCCTCTACGAGCCTCGGCCTTTCTCATCTTCATCCCATCCTCCCCTCGTCGTCTTACACCACTCGCCTTCCCAGGGTCGCTTCTCACGCCCTTCTAAACGCCTGACGCCAACAGAGTCTACCACCTCAACAAAATTTTCTCTCCTTCCTATCTTTCGAATCCCTATATTCTCGCCTCCCACCATTCCCCCTTTTCTCCCCTCCCCAGGGTCGCTTCTTCACATCCTTCCAGGTGCCGGACGTGTACGGGGTGTTTCAGTTCAAGGTGGAGCACAAGCGCCTGGGCTACTCCACGATCTCCCTCGCTAAGCAGGTGAGCACTATCAGGCACACACAAGCGCCTTGGCTACTCCACCATCTCCCTCGCTAAGCAGGTGAGCACTATCAGGCACACACAAGCGCCTTGGCTACTCCACCATCTCGCTCGCTAAGCAGGTGCGCACTCTCAGGCACAGGTGATTGTGATTGTTCTTGGCTACTCCACCATCTCCCTTCGCAAAGCAGGGCAGCGCCTCCAGCAGCCTCACCTTTAATGGCTGCCTTGCGGGATTGCAAGCAGCTGGTTGGTTGTTGCCTTGCCACTCATGATGTTGCTTGCAAACCAGGAGAGTCGAGCCCCTGCAGTGTTCCTCCTGTCTCCGGTGTCTGCCACACTTTTCGTGTGATAAGTCGATTTTTTGTCGACTCAAAAATTGGTTGCAAAGCAGGTGAGTTGAGCACCTGTAGAGTTCCTCATATCTCCGGTGTCTGCCACACTCTTTCATGCCATGCCCCAAGCCTTTCCTTCTGCCCCTCGTATTTCCTCTCTTGTCTCGCTGTTTCTTTCCCCTCTTTCACAAACACATGCCAGAGTTATTTTGCCTCACCGTCAGCCTCACTTCACCTCACCTCACCTCACCTCACTGCACCCCACATATCCTCTTCCTGCAGATCCCCGTGCGCCCCTTCCGCCACGATGAGTTTGAGCGCTTCATCCCGGCCGCCTTCCCCTACTACGCCTCCACCTTCTCCATGGTATGCTGCCTCTGCCTGTCCATGGTTTTCCCTTTTTCTCTATGATATGCTGGCTCGCTGTCTATCCATTCGATGGCTCGCTGTCTATCCATTCGATGGCTCGCTGTCTATCCATTCGATCGCTCGCTGTCTATCCATTCGATGGCTCGCTTCATCGCAGCTGCCTTCCCCTACTGCGCCTCCACCTTCTCCATGCTACACCTCCCTTCATCCACGTTATGGTGTGCCTTTCCTTGTCTTCCAAATGGTCTCTTATCTCCATCATATGGCTCATCTCTCCATCTAATATCCGACAACCTTCAACTCCCCACCTGTCCTTTTTGCACACTTTTCCCTCCCTCCCATATATGATGCAGTGTGGCAATGCTCCATTTTCCTTTGCCATGCTTGTCATTCCTCCTTTAAACATCCTTCATCACTTTTGCCCCACGACCACTCTGTTCTCTCTACCCCATATGCTCTCGCTAACCGTGCTCTTCCATCCCTCCCTCTTGTGCCTATATTATATATGTTTTCAACCACCAGATGATAGCGTTCTTTGTCATTGGCTTTGTCTTCCTCTACCACAAGTAAAACTGCCGAAGCCTTTTCGTCGCTGCCGGAAGAGTGCTTGCTAGGATTCCGGAACATCTCTTTACTAGCGAATTGTTGTGCCTTGATATACTCAAAGGCTAGTCCCCAGAAGGCTGACATGTTACTGGGTTGTTGTTATGCAGTCGTGGTGTTAAGATTTTGTGTATGCTGTAAGTCTATTGAGTGGGCTACATAAACACTCACTGATAACATAATCATTTGCCCAAAGAAATTTTGGTTACCAATTCACTTAAAACCGGAGGGTCAAGATGCACGAATTTGGTTCAAAGTTCCTAAGGTTGGTTGGGTGGTACCCGGTCTCCAACGGAAGCAACTTCAGAGACACACAAACGAGCTCCTGAACATTCGCCAAACTAGACCACTGTAGCAGCGACAAATGCAAAGTTGGGTTTCATCGCACAACACAACGCCCAACCCCAACCTGCGTAAACATGAGGCACACAGGCAAGAGAAACTTGTCCCAAAAACGCTAGTGATCATTCTTGAGTTCTAGGACCCACCCCGCCCAGCCCACCAACTAGCCAACATACGGTACCGACCAGCGGGCGCGCGATAATCACGAAGTACAGTCGCGGAAACCGACATTACCGGAAATGTCAGTGCGCGTGGTGACGTAAGCAGACTGGTGGCCACGATTCGACCTGCAGAGCTATGCGACGTCTCATTTAGGTCACGATTTGCATTGCAGGGCAACGCGACTGCGACATTAGGTCACGATTTGCCCTGCAGAGCAACGCGACGGCGACATTAGGTCAGGGATTGCCCTGCAGCACTTCGCAACGGCTGCGTTAGGTCACGATTTGCCTTGCAGGGCAACGCGACGGCAACATTAGGTCACGTTTAGCCCTGCAGGGCAACGCGACGGCGACATTAGGTCACGTCTTGCCTTGCACTGACTGCAGAATGTCAATTTCAATCCTGGTTCTAAACAGTAGCTCATTGTTTTGTGGTTCCTGTTCTAGCCCTGTTATGAACAGATGAATTCGTGCAATGACAACGTGGCTCATCGACTCCAGAGTGCCCAATGAAAACGGCACACGACCGAGGGCTTGTCAGGCGCCGGCCAGAGCGTGCCCTTTCTGGAATGGATCCCGCTTGCCACAGAGGCAAAGAGATGCCCTGCTCCTGCAGTGGGCGGAATCCTGGTTGCGACCGAGCTGGGTTCTTGAGCGAGGGTTTCAAACGAGCTTCAATCCAAGATTTCAATTCAACTCAAGTGCGTTGCTGAGCACCTGTGCTGCCACAGATGCGTGTGCGGAACAGCACTGCTGCCATAGGTGCTGCCACAGGTGCTGAATATCGGTGCTGCCACAAGTGCTGACATATCGGTGCTGCCAGAGGTGCTGCATATCGGTGCCGCCAGAGGTGCGTGTGCTTAACAGTTGTGCTGCACCTGTGCGAGTGCTTACCACCGGTGCTGCCACATGTGCGTGTGCTGGAAAACAACAAGCGCATGGTGTCAAATTATATATGTGTTATATATGTGTAGGCTGTAGTGGGGTAGCCAATAGGGGTACAACCCCTCTAGAGTTTCATACTTGTACCCAACTCTTTCATAGTTCATCCATTCTCGCCTGCTAGTTTCAACATGGTTTCAGAGCGGTAGGTCCGTTAGGACCGTTTTTTTTTTCTTGGGCCCACTGAACGCCTGCCTGCCTGCGGTTACCGCGCTGCCCCACACGCGCCCTGCCTTGCCTACCTGTCGCGCCGCCCGCGCCTGCCTTGCCTGCCCGTCGCGTTGCCCTAAGCCCGCGCCCGGCCCTTTGCCTGCCCGTCGCATCGCCCTAAGGCCCGCGCCTGCCCCGTGCCTGCCCGTCGCGTCGCCCTAAGCCCGCGCCCGGCCCCCTGCCTGCCCGTCGCGTCGCCCTTAGGCCCGCGCCTGCCCCGTGCCTGCCCGTCGCGTCGCCCTAAGCCCGCGCCCGGCCCCGCCCGCCTGCCCGTCGCGTAGCCCTAAAGCCCGCGCCCGGCCACCTGCCTGCTCGTCGCGTCGCCTTAACGCCCGCGCCCGACTGCCTGCCTGCCCGCCGCGTCGCCCTACGCCCGCGCCCGGCCCCCTGCCTTTCCGCCGCGTCGCCCTAAGCCCGCGCCCGCCCCCCCCCCTTCCTGCCTACCGCGTCGCCCCACACCCGCGCCCGGCCCCCTACCTGCCTGCCGCGTCGCCCTATACCCGCGCCCGGCCCCCTGCCTGCCTGCCGAGTCGCCCTACACCCGCGCCCTAGCCCGCACCCGTCCCCTGCCTGCCTGCTGCCTCGGCTTCCCTTCGCTGTGCCGATGACGACTCCTCACGTCCTAGAATTTGAGCCTGATGGCCGCCCGATCGAGTTCGCTACCTGGCTAGAGGACTTACAACTTTTCCTGCTGACTGATTCCAAAGACGGTGTCTCCTTGTTTGACTTTGCCTCTGGCGCCTCTGCCGCCCCTGCTGATAGCAACGCGACGGCAACAAGCGTCTAGCGAGTGCAGAACTGCGAGAACAAGCGTCTAGCGAGTGCAGAACTGCAAGAACAAGCGTCTAGCGAGTGCAGAACTGCGAGAACAAGCGTCTAGCGAGTGCAAAACTGCGAGAACAAGCGTCTAGCGAGAGCAAAATTGCGAGAACAAGCATCTAGCGAGTGCAGAATTGTAAGAACAAGCATCTACCGAGTGCAGAATCGTGAGAACAAGCGTCTAGCGAGTGCAGAACTGCGAGAACAAGCGTCTAGCGAGTGCAGAATTGCGAGAACAAGCGTCTAGCGAGTGCAGAACTGCAAGAACAAGCGTCTAGCGAGTGCAGAACTGCGAGAACAAGCGTCTAGCGAGTGCAAAACTGCGAGAACAAGCGTCTAGCGAGAGCAAAATTGCGAGAACAAGCATCTAGCGAGTGCAGAATTGCAAGAACAAGCATCTAGCGAGTGCAGAATTGTAAGATCAAGCGTCTAGCGAGTGCAGAACTGCGAGAACAAGCGTCTAGCGAGTGCAGAAGCGTCTAGCGAGAGCAAAATTTCGAGAACAAGCATCTAGCGAGTGCAGAATTGCAAGAACAAGCATCTAGCGAGTGCAGAATTGTAAGATCAAGCGTCTAGCGAGTGCAGAACTGCAAGAACAAGCATCTAGCGAGTGCAGAACTACGAGAACAAGCGTCTAGCTAGTGCAGAACTACGAGAACAAGCGTCTAGCGAGTGCAGAACTGCAAGAACAAGCGTCTAGCGAGTGCAGAACTGCGAGAACAAGCGTCTAGCGAGTGCAGAACTGCAAGAACAAGCGTCTAGCGAGTGCAGAACTGCGAGAACAAGCGTCTAGCGAGTGCAAAACTGCGAGAACAAGCGTCTAGCGAGAGCAAAATTGCGAGAACAAGCATCTAGCGAGTGCAGAATTGTAAGAACAAGCATCTACCGTGTGCAGAATCGTGAGAACAAGCGTCTAGTGAGTGCAGAACTGCGAGAACAAGCGTCTAGCGAGTGCAGAATTGCGAGAACAAGCGTCTAGCGAGTGCAGAACTGCAAGAACAAGCGTCTAGCGAGTGCAGAACTGCGAGAACAAGCGTCTAGCGAGTGCAAAACTGCGAGAACAAGCGTCTAGCGAGAGCAAAATTGCGAGAACAAGCATCTAGCGAGTGCAAAATTGTAAGATCAAGCGTCTAGCGAGTGCAGAACTGCGAGAATAAGCGTCTAGCGAGAGCAAAATTGCGAGAACAAGCATCTAGCGAGTGCAAAATTGCAAGAACAAGCATCTAGCGAGTGCAGAATTGCAAGAACAAGCATCTAGCGAGTGCAGAATTGTAAGATCAAGCGTCTAGCGAGTGCAGAACTGCGAGAACAAGCGTCTAGCGAGTGCAGAACTGCGAGAACAAGCGTCTAGCTAGTGTAGAACTGCAAGAACAAGCGTCTAGCGAGTGCAGAACTGCGTGAACAAGCGTCTAGCGAGTGCAAAATTGCGAGAACAAGCATCTAGCGAGTGCAGAACTGCGAGAACAAGCATCTAGCGAGTGCAGAATTGCAAGAACAAGCGTCTAGCGAGTGCAGAACTGCGAGAACAAGCATCTAGCGAGTGCAGAACTGCGAGAACAAGCGTCTAGCGAGTGCAAAACTGCGAGAACAAGCATCTAGCGAGTGCAGAACTACAAGAACAAGCGTCTAGCGAGTGCAGAACTGCGAGAACAAGCGTCTAGCGAGTGCAGAAGCGTCTAGCGAGAGCAAAATTTCGAGAACAAGCATCTAGCGAGTGCAGAATTGCAAGAACAAGCATCTAGCGAGTGCAGAATTGTAAGATCAAGCGTCTAGCGAGTGCAGAACTGCAAGAACAAGCATCTAGCGAGTGCAGAACTACGAGAACAAGCGTCTAGCTAGTGCAGAACTACGAGAACAAGCGTCTAGCGAGTGCAGAACTGCAAGAACAAGCGTCTAGCGAGTGCAGAACTGCGAGAACAAGCGTCTAGCGAGTGCAGAACTGCAAGAACAAGCGTCTAGCGAGTGCAGAACTGCGAGAACAAGCGTCTAGCGAGTGCAAAACTGCGAGAACAAGCGTCTAGCGAGAGCAAAATTGCGAGAACAAGCATCTAGCGAGTGCAGAATTGTAAGAACAAGCATCTACCGAGTGCAGAATCGTGAGAACAAGCGTCTAGTGAGTGCAGAACTGCGAGAACAAGCGTCTAGCGAGTGCAGAATTGCGAGAACAAGCGTCTAGCGAGTGCAGAACTGCAAGAACAAGCGTCTAGCGAGTGCAGAACTGCGAGAACAAGCGTCTAGCGAGTGCAAAACTGCGAGAACAAGCGTCTAGCGAGAGCAAAATTGCGAGAACAAGCATCTAGCGAGTGCAGAATTGTAAGATCAAGCGTCTAGCGAGTGCAGAACTGCGTGAACAAGCGTCTAGCGAGTGCAAAATTGCAAGAACAAGCATCTAGCGAGTGCAAAATTGTAAGATCAAGCGTCTAGCGAGTGCAGAACTGCAAGAACAAGCGTCTAGCGAGTGCAGAACTGCGAGAACAAGCGTCTAGCGAGTGC